GCCGCCGGCGCCGCGGGGACTGGGTGGCCCCCTCACCTGGGAGGCCGCGCCGCCGCCGACCGACGTCACCCTGCTAGCGTGTGCGGGCGGCGGTGGTCGGGGTCGGGGGCGCGGAGGGCGGGAGCGTTCCGGGGACAAGGGCGGCAGGGATTTGGCTACAAAAGATGTTCCAGAAAACGGGAGGGTTTTAAATGCCACCCTCATGGGTTTAGGTTTCTGTCCGAGGTCTGTGGCCTTTCCATTTTCTTCTTGTAAAGCATTTAATTTCTTCTAAACTCACCACTTGGATGGATGAGATTGGGGGGGGGTATTTTTATTTTTCTCTGTATATATTTATTTTGCAGCTGTTAATTTCAAACAGCCCCCAGAAAGGGAGCCTTCAGCGTAAGGGAGAGACTGTCTATTTGCGGTAGGAATTGGGTCTTCTGGTCCCAGAGAACAGAATTAGTTCAAATTTGCTTATTTTCAGATTTGGGAGCTTTATGGAGAAGTATTTGCAAGGTAAAAAGAGAGTTAAGGTTTTCTAAGTGGGTAGTATTTTAGCAAACACACTGCGGGTTCATAGTTCAGGGTCGGGAGGACCCTCTCCGCTGTATCCTAGGTGGTGTCCAAGATCCTTAGCCCGGCACTCACGGTCTTCACTAATCCCGGGTCTGCGGCCTGATCTCTGAGAGCTTCCTCCCAAACGCCAGGTATCAGAGAGCTTGCCTGACCATTTACTGCGGCTCCAGCTTTCACTGGGCTCTGCTGGAGAACCGTGTTTCCTTCCGTTCTCTAGTTTCATTCAAGAAAACTTTGGTGGAGCCCCTCCTCCCCGCTCCCCAATCCCAGGCTCCAGGCCCCAGGGCTAGGGCAGGGATTCAGGATCAAAAAAGGTGCAGGGCATCCTTCCAGGCCCTGCCCTCTCCTCTGCTCTGCTCTAACTTCAGTTCGAACTTGACACTTCAACCCACCGCACCACACACACAGGTGAGCAGCCTTCTTTTCTTTCTCCTACTGCCACCTGATGTGCTCCCAGCCACGCAGAACCCCCTGTCCCGGAAACCACCGTTTCTGAAACAGTATTCTCACCTCTGGTCACTGGGTCTTGGCTCAGTCCCATCCCTCTTCTGACCCTGGTCCTTATCCCACCATCAGGGTACTTCTCACCTCTCAATGAATTCTCCAAATTTCCTTTGGAATGACCTTTCAAAAAAAAAAAAAAAGAATGTGATTTTATGATACCCTTATTTAAAAGTTTGGCCTGGCTCTCTGTTGCCTATAAAATAAATTCCAGATCTCCTGGCAGGCTCCTTCACGATCTGCCCCTAACTTATGTCTCCATCCTCTAATGAGAAGAATTGTCGAAACTCTAAGGCTCTGCACGTGAGATTCCTCCTATCTAGAATATTCCTCCATCCTTTCTTCATCTGGCAAACTCTCCTTCATCCCTCAGAGACTTGCTCACTTGTTACTTCCTCTGTGAAGTCTTTCCTGAGTCCCCGTGTGTTTTACTGTAATAGTACCTGTCACATTGTTATGTCTGCATGTTTGACTACACAAAATTTCACTTCTTTGAGGACAATTTGTTATTTATAATTGCATGACCTTATTTCCTACCAACACAAATGGAGCCACCAATAATCCTCATAATTCAGCTCTCACTGCGTCATTCCCACCTGTGCAAAGGACTTCAAGACCCCTCATACCCTATGACTCCAGTAATTGCTGGTTCCTGGGTTTTCCTGCATGCCCCTCTGCCTTGTGCCCTCATGCCCCAAGGGGGCCCCTTCACCCCAGCCACTGTGAGACTGATTTCCTGCTGACATTCCTTTCCAGGGCAATGTGAGGTGGGAAAATGGCACTCTGCTCTCTTCTGTTCTTGCCCTAGTTTTTTGTAGCAATTTGTCCCGTGGGCACTGAAGCCGGACTGTGTCCGCCAGTGTTTTGACCTCGTAAGGAACCATCCTTAAACAACAACCCCAACTTCTGTGTGGAATCATTCTTTTCCTTCCGGCCTCAGCCCTGTGCTCAACACCAGGTTGAGGTAGACTCTGAGCAGTCCTGGTGAGGCCCAGGTCAGTCCTGATGTCTTCCGGGGGGCCTGGAACACAGAGGTACTCAGGGGTTCTAGAAGGAATGTGTAAAAGAAGGAGGCTCAGGGGAGTGATGACTTCTCCAGGTATGCTTTCCCTTATCTCTACAGGGAGAGGAGTAATACTGAAGACACAGAGTTATTATAAGGGTCAGCACTGCAGAGTCTGGGACATATCAGGTACTCAACAGATTCTAGTTTGAAAAGCAATTGTTTGATCAGATGTCTGTCATACATACATACTATTAATAAAAAGAACAAAGACCGAAGAGGAAAACAGCTCTGGGGGAAATGGAACAGAGAGATGACACCAAAAATTAAAATTAAACAATTTTGATATGACATATGGCTTGTAATAAATGTAAAATTAGTATATAGTTGGCTTTTTTTTAAGAGAGAGAGAGGGAGCACGAGGTGGGGGAGGGGCAGAGGGAGAGGAAGAGAAAGAATCTTAAGCAGGCTCCAAGCCCAGCTCAGAGCCTGACACAGGGCTCGATCTCACAACCCTGACATCATGACCTGGGCTGAAATCAAGAGTCGGGTGCTTAATGGACTGAACCACCCAGGAACCCCCCCCAAAATTAGTATATAGCTTTAATTTCCAGCATATTACTTCAGCCGCCTTGCAGCCCTCCATTGCGGGAGGGTTAGTCCCCTGAGAGGATGAGCGACAGGGAGAACAGAACAGCTGCTGCATGAGGAGCTGAAATGAAGAAAGCAGGAGGGGGAAAGAGGACTGATGTGAAAAAGGATTAGAAGGATGCCTGAGTGGGCAAAAGGACCATCCATTCGATTTGCCTGGCGATGCATGAGGTGTTCTGATTTGGCTCATGTTGCCAGGGATATGCACAACACACCTCCTTACCTTAACTGCCACCCCTGAGTCCATCCCTAAGCCTTACGCTGCCCTCTGTCCCCCATTTCTATCCTCTGTCCCCCACTTCACTCCATCCTCCAACTGGGTGAGGGCTGAGAATAAGTCTGTTTTTCCTCATTGCTGGAAAATAATAGAATTTTCCATTTGCCCGACACTATTGTAAGCACTTTACATTTATTAAATCACTTAATCCCACGGCCATCCCATGCAGTGTGTACCATTTCATCCCCATTTTCGAAGAGGAGGAAGGGGGTAAGTAACCTGCAGAGGGCACACAGCTAGGGGCTGAGCTGGGATGCGAGCCAGGGCACTCTGGCTCCAGGGTCCTAGGTCTTAGCCACTGCTGTCTGTGGCCTTTCAGTGACAGCACACTAAAAGTTTGTTTCTGTTGATGGATGCTTCCAAATTTCGCTGCATGGAAGCAGGGACATCAGAAAGTCACGGAGCCCCCCAGTGGTATCGGCAGTGAATATGCACCTGGCCTTTCTTTCCCCCTCTGAAGTCCTGCCTCTCTTCCTCGGGATTCTCCCGCTCTTCTCCTCTTTCCCTTTTTCCTTCTCTCCTTTTATTTGCCGTCCCAATTTTCCATCCAGGCCTCAGGCCTGCCAGGGGAGGCAGCGTGATGAACCTGCCCCAACACCAACGCTCTGTTCCCCCGAACCGAACAGGGGCCCAGCTCTGCCGGGACCGAGCTGTGTGTGTCTCTGAGTTTCCACACCGAGGAATGAAGGAGTCAGGTTGGGAGAGAATGAATACTTATGTTTAACTATGTCATTTTATGATTCCAGTGATAACCAAGAGCATTTCTCTGACCCCTGTGGCAGAACATAGGGGACAGCTGGTCGCACTCTAGGTGAGAAAGAATGAAACACTAGCAGTAGGATAACGAAGTTGTTGGCTACAAGAGTGCCTGGCACCAGTGTTATCTTTGTCTTAATATTCTACGACTGGGCAACATGCATCAGGGTCCTGATGGGGCTGTGGTGAATTGAGCAGTTCTTAAAGCCCTTCTATTTGAAAAGGTATGTAATCCATTATGGTCAAAAAGCATAGTTGTAAGGGTGGGCGGCTTCTAAGATGGTGCCCAGTGAGCCTCTCTTCCTGGTGTGCATGTCCTGTGTCATCCCCTCCCCTAGTGTAGATGAGAACTAGAGACTCATCTCTAACGAACATAATATGGCAAAAGTAGCGGGATGTCACCCCTGATATTAGGTTACAAAAAGATTGAGGCTCCTTCTATCTTGCCATCTTGCGCTTCCCCTTGCTCGCTGGGAGGGGAGCCAGCTGCCATGTTGTGAGCTGCCCTATTAGAGGCCACAGTGAGGGAGGCTCCTGGCCAACAGCTCGTGAAGAGCTGAGTCGTGCCTCAGCCATCTGAGTGCGCGTGGAAGCAGGGTGCCCCCAGTTGAGCTGTGAGGTGACTCCAGTCCAGGCCTTGTGAGAGGTGCTGAGCCAGAGGACCCAACTCATCTGCCCCTGGTTTCTCAACCCACAGGAACTGGGAGATGATAAGTGTTTCTCATTATAAGCTATCAATTCATCACTGATACAGTTGTTTTTAAGTGCATTTCAGAACTCTGAATTCACATCTGACCGCACAAATCATGACTATTTTCTGGATGGGTGAGGGCCAAATGGATCAAATGGTAATTGGCATAAGATGCGGATGTGGTCTGGGTAAAGAAGCAAGTGTGGAAAACACATGAGACAACAGTGTGACTTGTCCGAGGTTAACTCTGACGGTCCCACACCCCAGAGCCTCACTTAGCTCCTACAGCCAAGCCCAGGGTCTGCCGTCCACTGTGACCACATAAAGCTGCTCATTCCTCTTCCTGGATGCCAGCCACAGCCTCAGCTGGGCCACACCTCTTGCAGCCTCATAGCGGGTGACTGTTACCACCCTGGATAATGATAGGATGTACTGTCACGGATGATACAGAACTAATAAGGGGATGTGCCGTTTCATGCATCACCTACCCAGTGAGCACTAGACAGTCCCCACAGATGCAAAGCACCAGTGGCTCTCGTGCCATCCCTCACCATCTGCCACATAACCACAGAGTTCTGTGTGCCTGCCTGGTGCCACTTGGGCACGTGTCGGAAGAGATGTGCCACCCAGTCTTCGCCTGGTGCTTAGCAACACAGTCCC